TACTATCCCTAATTTCCGTGTTTCTGTATACAGCGAACTTTGTTTTAACCGGCATCTTAGATTAACCGGCACATTAGCAGTCTTCCTCTGTTACCAACACGTCGCCCCTCCATCTCCCTCGATTAACCGGCACCTATGTCACCGGTCCTCTCGATTAACCGTCATCTTCTCCCACCTTACCGGGCACTGTTGATTGACTGGCACCTACCTGGACAGCCTACTCTCAGTCACACGGCCCATTGCTGAACCGGCGTTTTCTATTAACCGGTGCCTTCTGAGCAGGCTTCCTCGATAACCGGCAAAATGATCCCTCAAATACCATGTTTACTGTATTATTCTGTTTTTTTTTCAATTTATTGGCCTCAGTGTAAATATACTTGCTGTTCAATCGAACCGTCGCAAAATATCAGCAGTTAATTCAATTTTGAGTCAATTTCTCCTCAAATAACGTGATCTCAGTCAGGTGAGGGTTTGTGAGAAGGCTCTTTTATTTAAGGCAAAGTTGCATTATGATTGAAGTGACTTATGCCGTAAATAAAGTGTAACAATGAGGTGTATACCCCCTGCGTTGCGTTTCTTTACTCAATGAGTGTTTTTATGTTGATGATGTGGACCTCTTGATTATCCGGAATATTAATCAACCAGCACATTCCTCGTCCTATAGGTGCCAGATAATAAAAAGTTTGCTGTATACTATCATTGGTAAGGTTAGCACAATAACCACAGAACCCCATGGTTCCGTCTGGGATGGGGTAAGTGCAGAGCATTCTGGGAAGGGTGTTGGGATCGTGGTGATGGTCTAGTCGGGGGAGAGGGTTCAGGAAGGCTGGTGAACAAGTGAAGCTTGGCACGGTGGCTCAGTGGTTAGCACTGCTACCTCACAGCGCCAGGGACTGGGGTACGATTCCACCCTCGGGTGACTATCCGTGTGGAGTTTGCACGTTCTCCTTGTGTCCGTGCAAGTTTGTTCTGGTTTCCTCCTACGTTCCAAAGATGTGCAGGTTAGGGGTGGATTGGCCACACTGTAGCTTCCAGGGATGTGCAGGCTAGGGGGGTTAGCCATGGGAAATGCAGGGTTCCCTCTTTCCCCTTGGCAGAGTCAGATTGCAGACTAATCCTCTTGTCTCCTCTTTCTCCTCCCGGTGCAGTAAGTGAGCAGCTGTTTGTCGCAAAGGCTCTGCAGAAAGTCAAGATCGAGGTCAATGAGAGTGGGACCAAGGCATCTGCTGCCACTGGTGAGTTTCAATGTGCAAATTGCACCCGAATGTTCAACGCATCCTTAATCCCAAGGTGTTCCTGATTTTATATCCAGTGGGACTTTATAATGGGCAGTAGCAGGGATTCCTTGCTGCTGTTATGGAGTTGCTTCTGCCTTGCACCTCTCCAAACTCTTATGTTTTCATTCTCAGGATGTGGCATTTATTGCCCATCCCTCATTGGCCAGAGAGCAGTGAGGAGTCAACCACATCGCTGTCGGTCTGGAGTCAATTGTCAGGGCAGCAGTTTCCTTCCTTAAAGGGGTATTAATGAATTTGGGTTCTTTTCCCCCCAACAATCATCGTCCACTTCATGGTTATCACTTCATTCCAGATTCTTCACTGAATTCAATCTGCCCGGTGGGGTTCGAACCCAGCTCCCCAGAATATTAGCTGCATTAACAGTATACCACTAGGACATCCCCTCGCCATCTTGGGCTGGGCTTGGGAAGAAGTGTAGAATAGAACAGAAATTTATTGTCGTGGGTACTTTTGTGTGAAAAATACGGTGGAAAGTTTATAAGTCGCCCTACATCATGGCGCCTACATCAATGACAGACGTCATACATAATAACAAAAACAAAAGTAAAATTTAAGACCAAGTTCATCACCGTTCAGTTAATGGCTCCTGGGTTCAGGGCAAGCCAATATAAGAATGATAGGCTACCCTGAAGATACAGTCTTCAGACGAGACCACCTGAGACCGCCAGGCCAGGCCGCTGGAATACCTGGATGCTGAAGACGAAGAAGATCTTCACGTCAGGCTGAGACCGCCTTTCTCCTCCTTCAAGTCACTCAACCCCGAACAAATAATTCTCTGCATCTCTGTAATGCCTTGGGCCATGACAGTCAAAGCTCTCCTCTTGAAGATTGCCTTGATGTGTCAGCCATTCTAGGCGTATTACAGGCTCAGCCGTGAATCCATGTCTCCGTACAGTGGGGAGGTTTACACATGCCGGCACAGCTGAGCGCCTCCACGCCTGGCATTTTGTCCTGGCATCTGAACTTCATAAAAGCAAGATGGCGACAGGAGAGAGCCTGTCAACTCAGACCCACTGGGGCACCCTGTGGCCGGAGCTTGCAACTACATCGTCACAGCCAAACTGTTTACCTACAGCCCCGATATTTCATAAAATGTTTTTCAAAGCATCCACTCAAGGAGGCTTCAACTGAAAGCGTTATTGTATGCTGGGTGCAGGAAAGAACTGTGCGGTTGCGTTGATGGACTGACATTTTGCTTTTTGTTCGCAGCTGCCATCCTTTATGAACGTATGGCGCCATTCGAGGTTGTGATCGACAGGCCCTTCCTCTTCTTGGTCAGGCACAACCCCACAGGTAAGGCAACGAGAGGGTCGATGGGGAGGCGGCCATGTTGGCTCCTTGTGGCACAAAGGCAGCAACAGGACTGTCGGTGCTAGGGCCTGTTCCACCGTTTCAGAAACAGGAAGGGGCTCGAGCAATCATGGCTGAGCTGAAGTCCATTCCCATTTGCCCAGCTTTGATGCTTTCCTTCCTGTTTGTATCGGCATCACTGACTGACTGGGCCAGTGTTTATTTGCATTGAAGAGTTAACCACATTGCTGTGGGTCTGGAATCATGTGTTCCAGCTACCTTCCCTAAAGGGACCAATTGAGTTTCCCCCAACAATGTCATGGTTGTCATTAAATCCAGATTTTTAATCGGATTGGAATCACACCATCTGCTGTGGTGGGATTTGAACTCTGATCCCCAGAACCTTCTGATTAATAGCCCAGCGATAACACTGCTAGGCCATCGCTTCCCCAGAGCCTCATAGATCTTAATAGCCTAGATAACAAATACTGTGGAGACACTTCTGTCTAAAGAATCCAACCTCAATCAGCTCAGTCCTGGGCCCCTATCATTTGGCTTCGTTCCATAGTCAGACATTACAGATAGTGCAATAGAGATCAACTTTTCTCCTCTGTGCATGTGAGGTGACTCACTGTATTTGCAACAAACTTGATATTCACACGATACATTTTATATCAGACACCAGACCCAGTTGGTTTGTTCTAAAGACAGCCCCAAGGCTCCGTGAACATGCAGAGAAGGCTGGGTCAGACTCAGAGTCATAGAACTGTACAGCATGGAAACAGACCCTTCAGTCCGACTCGTCCATGCTGACCAGATGCCCTAAATTAATCGAGACCCATTTGCCAGCATTTGGCCCACATCTGTCTAAACCCTTCCTATTCATGTATCCATCCGGATGCCTTTTAGATGTTGTAATTGTACCAGCCTCCACCACTTCCTCTGGCAGCTCATTCCATACACGCACCACCCTCTGCGTGAAAAAAGTTGCCCCGTATGTCCCTTTTAAATCTTTCCCCTCTCACCTTAAACCTATGCCCTCTGGTTCTGGACTCTCCCACCCCAGGAAAAGAAATCTTGGCTATTCAAGCTATCCATGCCCCTCATGATTTTGTAAACCTCTATAAGGTCACCCCTCAGCCTCTGACACTCCAGGGAAAATAGCCCCAGCCTATTCAGCCTCTCCCTGTAGGTCAAACCCTCAGACCCTGGCAACATCCTTGTAAATTTTTTCTGAACGCTTTCAAGTTTCACAACATCCTTCCCATGGAGGGGAGACCAGAATTGAATGTAGTATTCCAAAAGTGGCCTCACCATTGTCCTGTAAAGCCGCAAGATGACATCCCAACTGCTGTACTCAATGCAGGCCTACACTGGGCTTCCATTTTTCACCTGGTCCTAAGGAGATGTGGGTTTGTTGAGGGAAAGAGGAACCTTTCAGTATCTAACTGCAATGGATGTTTTTGAGTAAAGGAAGGGAGCGAGGTAACACCACCTTCATCTTAGGTAGTTTGCCCCGTGACCGAGATTGACATTCTTCAATGTTGAGGAACTTAAAGTGACTAAACAGTCCGATGCCGTATCCTACAACCCACACACTCTCTCTCTCACACACACTCAAAGACCTCTTTCTCTCTCTCTCTCTCACACACACAGATACATTCTCTCACTCACACACAATCATACAGACATATAATCACAACATAAACACAAACACACACACATACTCTCTCACATAGATATACACACTCCCACACACACAGTCAGCCACATATATACTCTCACATACACTCGCACACGCACATGCACACACAGAAAACATAGACACGCGCAAAGGAGCATACGCACGCACACAAACACAGACACTCACACCCACACACATAGACATGCAAACACATGTTCACGTTCACACACAGACATTCGCACAAACACGCCTACATACTCAAAAACATGTGGTCACACACAAACTCACCCAAATTGACTCACACACACACGTACAATCTGTCTCACGCACATGCACACACACACACAATCTCTCTCGCACACGCACACATACACTCTCACACGCACATATACACACATCTCACATGCACACATACACGCTCACACACACACACTCTCTCTCCCATGCACACATTCTCTCGCACACACATGCACACACACGCGTACACACACTCACACGCACACTCTCTCACACACACACATGCACGTACACACACACACAAACTCAAAATGGTTTTGATTTGTGTCATAATTGTATGAACCTGAGTGCAGAGAAAAGTTTTGTTTTGTAAGCAGTACAGGCAGATCATAACAAACAAGGACATAGAGATCATAGGGTGCTCAGACAGAGCAAGGCATACAGGTTATACCGCACAGGAGGTGCACAGAGCAAGGTCGACATAATTTGAAGTTAGAGAGGTCCATTCAGCAGTCTAATAGCAGCAGGGAAGAAGCTGTAGTTAAACCACTTTGTGTGTGTGAGTTCAGGCTTCTGTATCCTCTATCTGATGGAAGGGGCGGTAGGAGAGCATTTACCGGGGTGTAATGGATCTTTGATGATGTTGGCAGCCGTTCTGCGGCAATGGGAGGTGTAAAAGGAGTCCACGGGTGGGAGGTTGGCTTCCGTGATGGTCTAGGCTGTGCACACCACCTTCTGTAATTTCTTACGGTCCTGGGCAGAGCAGTTGCCGTACCAGACCGTTATGCGCCCGGGTAGAATGCTTTCTATAGTGCATCTGTAGAAGTTGGGGAGGATCCTCATGGACATGCCAAATTTCCTGAGCCGGGTAGGTACCCTTGTGCGGGTGGAGATGCTGCACCTTGTCAGGGAAGTTGCGAGGACTAAATCCCGAGGATTTTGACGGAATGCCAACAGGCTTGGAAGGTGCTGTAAGGTTGAGATTTGTTTCAATAATGGTGCCCCTCTTGTTTTGTAGGCACCATCCTCTTCATGGGCCAAGTCATGGAACCCTAGAGCATGAGGCCACCTCTGAAAAGACAATACTCAGGTATCATCTCTGTCGAAAGCCGCAACGGAAAGTAGTAAAAAACTGGAATTAACCGGAAGAAAAACGTACAATGAGGGAAGGAAGACTTTTTTTTTGGAATCCGGGGATGATGATCAATTTTCTGCCTGGATCTCGCTCACATTTAACCAGCAGTGACTTGAACTTCAGCCTTCGTTAGATGTCATTTCCTAATCCACGGTCACGCCAGTGATCCCATTCATTTCACAACTCGCAAGGTCTCGCTGCGTCCGTTCATTAGCCGCTTCGAACTTTTGACGCCATCTCGGTTCGGAATGGTTTCCCAAAGCACTTGCACTTAGCTCCAGCAACTCAACCCTCCCTCCTCCTCCTCCGTCCACCCCATAAGTTCACTGGAATCTGACCCCACTACCCCCCCCCCCCCCCCCACCCCCCAACTTCACTGTGTATGTTCCAATCAAAAACACCCCAGCAACCTTCGCCCTTGATCTCCGTGGCACTTGGGCCAATCGTAAGTCACCATTGTCACACCCCCCGCCACCCCCCTCACCCCACCTCCGGATGTCGGTGAATTTACTCTCCAGGCACAGGTGCACAGCAAGATCCCACGTAACCACTAACAACTGGGTGGAGCAACTCGGGTTGAGGGATAAATATCGACCGATATGCCCCCTCGAAACCGAATCCTGGCGTTTCTACGGCCAGCCCCGGGGTTCAGCCAATCCCTGGTCCAGGACACGGGTGTGGAACATTGAAAGAACTCAGTTACGGCCCGAATGGCCCAATCGCGTTTCGGTGGGAGGTGGGACGTGTTACGACATCCCTAGACTACCCCCCAGCCTCCCCGTGAGGGAAATATTTCACCCAGGGAGTGTGAGGAAAGGCAAGATTGTATGTCGCCACACCCTGTGATGCAAATTTGGGACCATTAATGGAATGTCACGCTCACTCCCCCTTTGGATTCCACGTATGTTCCTTTCAATGTCAATTTCCAGTAGTCCCCTGTCAGTTCCTACCCTGTGCCGAAATCTTATGTTAATTTCCCTGCTGTTGAGGGGGAGGTTAAAATGCTTGGGGACCAGCTATTTGCTTGCTGACTGTGAACATGCAAGACCTTTGCATCCATATTTACACACACATCTCTGTACCAAGACTTGCACTGTTGCTTTAATTTGGAAAATACGAAACCTCATGGTGTAGTTTGTAATATATTTTCAGATTTGTGTAATTTATTTCTTTTGACTTAAGAAATGTTTTTGTATTTTAAATAAAAAAAAAGCTAACCACCTTCAGAACTGGATGTGGATACTGCTGAGGACAGGGGGGGTATTCTATCGCTGTTGTCAGATGGGATCTGGGGTTCCCCCTCTGAAGAGGGGTCACTGGACCCTGAACGTCAACTCTGATTTCTTTATACAGATGCTGCCTGACTTGTTGAGTTTCTCCAGCAATTACTGCTCTCGTTTCTAATTTCCGGCATCCGCAGTCGTTTCACTTTTAAAATTTGAACTGGGCCTCCTGGTTCAGAGGTGGGGACACTGCCACAAGAGCACCTATTCCACCATTCAACTTGAGAATGACTTAACATCATTCCAGTGCCTGTTGTGCCCCATCCCTCAGTACACTGACCTGTGTAAGTGTGTATTTCGAAATTTTCAATTGACCTTCAGCCCACAATTTTGTTTATCAGTGGCAGGAGGATAGAGTTAATTTCAGAGATAGCAGGAACTGCAGATGCTGGAAAATCTGAGATAACAAGGTGTAGAGCTGGATGAACACAGCAGGCCAAGCAGCATCATAGGAGCAGGAAGGCTGACCTTTCGGGCCTAGACCCTCCTTCGGGCCTTTTCTGA